ATCACTGGAGCACAGGAGTTAGAGACTACAGTGAGCTGTGATAGTGCCACTGCACTCCAGCCTAGGTGACAGAGTGAGACTCTAAAAAAAAAAAAAAAAAAAAAAAATTCAGAATGTTAGACTTATCTGTCCCTTTCCCTAACTTAAAAAGTCAGAATATTAGTTAAATCTGTCATAAATGTGAGTTCTACCATATACAAGACATAAAAATAAATTCCAAGTGAATTAAAGAGCCAAACATAAAAACCAGAACTATCAAGTACATATAAGAGGTTATTCTTATAAAACTGTGGTAGGGAAGTATTTCATAACCCTGCAAAGACCTCAAGAAGAAGACTCTCAATATTAAACTATGCCAAGGTTTACATGGTAAAAATAAAATACCATAAACAAAATTAAAAGGTAAATGTCACATTACAAGACAATACTTGCAACATATATAATAGAAAGTGGCCCTACCAAAAGCTTTCGCTAGAGACTTAGCATAAAAAAGAGATTTTTAATATATATGATTTTTATAAGAGAGTGTAGAACAGAACTAACAAAAAGCAAAAAAGAAATATCCTTCCACCTCATCTTAATAACAAGGGCAGTGTACCACACACAGAGCAGGAACAAGGAATCTAAATATAATTTAGCTAGAATACTGCTAAAACTTTAACAAAGACTACAAGCTAAGTGAGGTGTAGTAATTCTCTTTTTAAAGCCATTTATAACGAATAAAATTGGCCAATTTTTGTTTGTGTACTCATCAAGTTTTCTTTAATTGAATTCAATTTTCAGATCACACATATTTGCTCATATTACACATAACATACAAAGTCCTCCTACCAAATCAAGATAGACCCAATTTTTTTTAAAAGTCAGAAATAAGAAAAAGCAAGTCACAGAAGAAATATACATGACTAATAAACATGAAAAGTATTCTACCTCCTAGGGACCAAGGAAATACAAAATGAAATGACATTTTTCACCCATCAAAATGACAAAAATGAGAGAGTACCAGAGAAGGTTTGAATATGAAAAGACATTTTTATACACTGTTCATAGGAATATAAAATAGTGCAATATTTTGTGGGAAATTTCTCTGTCCTAGGAAAATATCTCCTGTTTAAGGATGCACCGACAAGGGTGTTCACTGTAGTTGTAGACATAGGTATCTATATGGTTAAGGTATTAAATGAAATATCATCCACATGTTGGCAACAAGCACAATTCTCACACCTTTGCTTATTCCATTTCCTTCTCTTGACCGACCTAGTCAGAAGCCATCTCTCCCTCCTCTGAATTCCCAAAACACTCTTCCATCCTACACTGTGTTTTTATGTTTTATCTCCATAAGGAGATCACAAGTTCTTGATGTAAGTTCTCAATCATGTTTGTTAATTCTCTATTTAAAAAAAAAAAAGGGTGATCTTGATTGAATGATGTGGGCTAGACTAAACCATGCTATTGACCCATTATTTTTATCTCCATTAAAAAATAACACATATGAACAGACACTTCACAAAGGAAGACATCCGAGCAGCCAACAAACACATGAAGAAATGTTCAACCTCACTAATCATCAGGGAGATGCAAATCAAAACCACACTGAGATACCACCTAACCCCAGTCAGAGTGGCAATCATCAACAACTCAAAAAATAACAGCTGCTGGAGAGGGTGTGGTGAAAAGGGAACACTTCTACACTGTTGGTGGGAGTGTAAACTAGTGCAACCTCTGTGGAAAGCAGTGTGGCGATTCTTAAAAGCTCTAAATACCAACCTCCCATATGACCCCGCAATCCCCCTACTGGGAATATATACTGAAGAACACAAATCACTCTATAAAAAAGATACCTGCACACGCATGTTTATTGCAGCATTGTTCACAATAGCAAGAACCTGGAAACAGCCATGCTGCCCGTCAAAAGAGGACTGGATTAAAAAAATGTGGTACATATACACGATGGAATACTACGCAGTCATAAAAAAGAACAAAATCATGAATTTCGCAGCAACCTGGATGGAACTAGAGTCTATAATACTGAGTGACCTCTCACAGAAACAAAGATCCGAGTATCACATGTTCTCACTCATATAATGGACCTTAAACATCCAATGCAATACTATACGAAAATGACTGACCGTACTGGGAAACTATGGTGGGGGGAGGGAGATGGGATTAACAGTAGCAAATATCTGTCTGGGAACGGGGAAACACCCCATATCAACAGGGTGCCTGAATGAAACGCAATTGTATACCTAACCCTTAACTGTATCCCACAACTTCACAATAAAAATAAATAAATAAATAACATTTATGGCCTTTTTCTGATTATTAAGATAATACATTACTCACTGTAGAAATAAAAAGAAAACAAAAAGAAAAAAGCATAAATTACCTGCCATGCTACTGTTGAGAGACTATTAGTATTTTAGTGTAGTAACTCACCAGTGGTCACTTATTTAGGTACTTACTTCCATTTTTTAAAACATGTGGGCTAGGCACAGTGGCTCAAGCCTGTAATCCCAGCACTTTGGGAGGCTGAGGTGAGAGGACTGCCTGAACCCAGGGATTTGAGACCAGCCTGGGCAACTTGGTGAGAACTCGTTTCTACAAAATATCAAAAAATTAGCCGGGCATGGTAGCGCATGCCTATAGTTCCAGCTTCTTGGAAGGCTGAGGCAGGATAGCCTGAGCCCAGCAGGTGGACACTGGGGTGGCCCTGAGTGTGCCACTGCTCTCCAGTCTAGGCGACAGAGTGAGACTCTAACTCAAAACAAAACAAAACAAAAATGTGAATCACACTAATATGTACAATTTAGGAGCTGTTTTCTCTTAAATGTTCTTTTACGTTATTTCTGATGGCTGTAGAATATGGTATCCATGATACAGGCTCATATCCTGTTTATCATAATTGAACCATTTAGTCAACAAATTTGAGTGCCCAGCTTCATGTCTGACATAGCACTAGGCAATGAGATATATACAAAAGTGAGGTCAGCCCTCATCCCTTCACCAGAGAAAGCTAACATGCAAACATCAAGGCAAGCAAAATTATTTACAAGATACAATGAGCTCCATGAAGGAAACAAGCAGGTACTAGGGATAAGAGTAGCAAGAGAAACTTTGTCTCTACAAAAAAATTTTTTTAAATTTGCCCAGCATGTACCTGTAGTCCCAGCTACTAAAGATGCTGAGGCAGGAAGAATACCTGAGCCCAGAAGTCCAGCCAGTACAGAGTGAGATTCCAACTCAAAAAAAAAAAAAAAAAAAAAATAGTAACAAGGGATCTACTTTTCTTAGTGGTTAGAGAGCCTTTCTGAGGTCACATTTAAGCAAAAACAGAAAATGAGGAGACAGACTTGCAAGGCTGAAGAAGAAGAACCCCTGACAGGAAAAAAAAAAACACCTAAGGAAATGGTCTTAAATGGCAAGAAAGCTTGACTTGTCTAGGGAACCAAACAATCAGCGCAGCTGAAATACAGTATAGGAGAGGACTTGCAGGCCAGAGTAAACGTGTGGATTTTATCTGAAGGTCGGTGGCTAGGTAATCAGAGTAGTGAAGAATGGAGGTGACACAGTCCAACTTACCCTCTTATCATCTCTTTGGGTACCATGGAAAGAAGAGAAAGACCAAGAAGAGAAGCACAGAGAGAATCAGAAAGCTACTGCCATGGCCCAGGCAAGTCTGCCATGGCCCAGATAACAGTCTGGACTGGTGTGATGACATTCTCTACTGTCACCTATGGTATCCTTTCAGTCATAAATAATGCTGCACTTAATATTGCTACATGTAAATCTTTGAATTTCCAACTACATCCCTAAGATAGATTCCTAGAAGTAGAGTGACTAGGATAATGCTAAGAACTCTAAGTCATTTTACAATCCTTAAAGATATAATCAATTAATATCAACTGAAATACCAGTAGTCTATCAGTGCTAACACACAAGTGGCGGGAATGAAAAAAAATTCTCTCTGCTAATTTGATACACCAAAAGACACTCTGGTTGCACTTTTTATTATCTGTATTGCTAAAATTGCCAAATTTCACCCCCCCCATATTTATTAGTGATGTATACTTACTGTAAGAAATTTGTTTATTTTTCACTATTTGAACTTCCAATATTTTCCTTATTGATTTCTGGAAACTTTTTAATATAATAAAGACATTGACATAGTCAAATTTGAAGTACCTATCTTTCTTTCTTTTTTTTTTTGAGTTGGAGTCTCACTCGGTCGCCCAGACTGGAGTACAATGGCCGCTCCCGGCCACCGCAGCCTCGCCTGCTGGGCTCCGGCGATCCTTCCGCCTCAGCCTTCCAAGTAGCCAGAATTACAGGCATGCGTTACCATGCCCGGCTGATTTTTTTATTTTTATTGTAGAGATGAGGTGGGCTCAGGCAATCCACGCACCTCAGCCTCCCAAAGGCGTAGGATTACTGGCTGAGCCACTGAGCCCGGCTCTTTCTTTTTTTAACTTTAAAAAAAATTTTGATTTATTGTAGAGATGAGTTCTCGCCAAGTTGCCAGGGCTGGTCTCGAACCCGCAGGCTCAGGCAATCCACTCACCTTAGCCTCCCAAAGTGTTGAGTTTACAGGCTGAGTCACCGAGCCCAGCATGACTATCTCAATTTTTTTTTTTTCGTTTCTCTTTTCAAGTCAATTAGAATTCATTTTGGCATAAGGGACAGATGTAACTTCATTTTTACCCCAAATAACTACCCATTTGTTTGTTTTAGTTCCATGCATTTAATAAGATATTCTCTTCCATTCTGTACAAGATTCTAGTCTGGTTTTATTTACTGTGTTTCACGAAACGGACCCTTTCCTTCACCTGAATCATACAGTTTTATTTATTATGCCTTCATCAGGAAACAATCTCCTCCTCTACTCTCTTTTCTCTGGAAAAATTTCCTCAGTTATTATTTTTTTAACAATCTTCTTCCTTCTTTTTTTTTTTCTGAGTCAGAGTCTCACTCTGTTGCCCAGGTGGGAGTGCAGTGGCACACTCACAACTACCCTGACCTGCTGGGCCCAGGCAATCCATCTGCCTCAGACTTCCAATTAATTATAATAATTTCTTGCATTTCCTCCGCTCCCGCACGTAAACATAGTTTCTTCAGTGAGTGCACGCCTTCCTTATCCCCTCCCGCAGGGTCCGCGGCCACCATGGCGTATTAGAGGCAGCAGTGCCTGCGGCAGCGTTGGCCTTTGCAGCAGCGGCAGCAGCACCAGGCTCTGCAGCGGCAACCCCCAGCGGCTTAAGTCATGGCACTTCTCACAGCATCCAGCAGCAGCGTTGCTGTAACCGACAAAGACATCTTCGAATTAAGCACATTCCTTGCTTCCATCAAAGCCCCACAACATGACTGAGATGAGCTTCCTGAGCAGCGAGGTGTTGGCGGGGGACTTTGTGTCCCCCTTTGATCAGTCGGGCTTGGGGGCTGAAGAAAGCCTAGGTCTCTTAGATGACTACCTGGAGGTGACCAAGCACTTCAAACCTCATGGGTTCTCCAGTGACAAGACTAAGGCGGGCTCCTCCGAATGACTGGTTGAGGATGGGTTGGTCAGTGCCTCCAACAGTGGTTAGGAGGATACCTTCTCCAGGACAGATTGGATGTTGGAGAAAATGGATCTGAACGAGTTTGACTTTAATTCCCTGTTGGCTACAGATGGCCTGGAAACCATGCCAGAAGAGTTTTTGGCCACGTTCGATGATACCTGTGACCTCTTTGCCCCCCAGTCCAGGAGACTATGAAGGTGCCTTCTCAGACAGTGAACCTAATTGGCTATCTCCCAGAAAGTTTAACAAAAACAGACCAGGTTGCCCCCTTCACCTTCCTGCAGCCTCTTTCCCTCTCTTCTTGGGTCCTGTTCTCCACTCCAGATCATTCCTTTAGTTTAGACCTGGGCAGTGAAGTGGATGTCTCTGAAGGAGAAAAGAAGCCAGAATCTACTGCTTATATCATTCTGATCCCTCAGTGTGTAAAAGAGGAAGACGCTCCCTCAGATAATGACAGTGGCATCTGTATGAGCCCTGAGTCCTACCTGAGCTCTCCCCAGCATAGCCCCTCTGTCCCTGGTGGCTCTCCAAACAGGAGCCTGCCATCTCCAGGTGCCCTCTGTGGCTCTGCCCGTCCCAAACCATATGACCCTCCTGGAGAAAAAATAGTAGCAGCAAAAGTAAAGGGTGAGAAACTAGATAAGAAGCTGAAAAAAAATGGAGCAGAACAAGGTACCACTAGGTACCACCAGAAGAAGAGGGCAGAGCAGGAGCCCCTCACTGGTGAGTGTAAAGAGCTGGAAAAGAAGAATAAGGCTCTGAAAGAGAGGGCAGATTCCTTGGCCAAGGAGATCCAATACCTGAAAGATTTGATAGAAGAGGTCCGCAGGGCAAGAGGGGAAGAAAAGGGTCCCCTAGTTATGGTAGTCAGGAGTATTGTGTACTTGTACATAGGAGTCTTGCACTGAAGCTTTATGTTGTAATAAATTATTTTGTAGTGAAAAAAAATTATAATAATTTCTTGATTTACTATAGAGACAAGGTCTTGCCAAGATGCTCAGGCTAGTCTTGAACCGCCAGGCTTGGGCAATCCTCTGGCCTTCACCTCCCAAAGTACTGGGATTACAGGCGGGAGCCACCGTGCCCAGCTTCTTCTTCATTTTTAAGATGCTACTTTTTTCTCTGTTTTAAAACTCATGGTATGTTTTATTTATTAACAAGTTAAAAATTGTAACTGCTAAAGTTACGAATAATGGCTAAAATAGAGTTTCTATCCTTATCACTTAGCAACTTACTAGAGAGCTGGCTAACTATAAGCTCCAGTTGGCACAGCAAACTGTGCCTGCTGTAGTCAGCCAGAAAAATATTGCTAAGAAACCTATTTGTAAACCAAAGAAAATCAAGGATGAAAAAAACTCAGAAATTCATTCATTTAAACAGACAAAAAATAATTTCACTAGAGGAAGACACCAAAAATCTGTCTGAATGTGCCAAATAAGTATTTATCTACCTGTTACACTAATTGCTCTCCTTTTGGATGATGTGGATGGTCTAGAAATCAAACCAGAAGATGAAGGTTTCGCTTTCTGTAGCTCATGCACAGGGTTCTAAGCATTCAAGAAAAAAACAAAATACAGCAAACTAAACTCCAGGAAGCTAAAAAACTTTGTTTTAAATAACCTTTCCAATTTTCAAGAAATATTATACTAGAATGAGAAATGTATTTAAAGATTGCCTTTTGATCACACCCACCTTCCAGGTGACATCTGTCTTCACTCAGAGATGTGCCTGAGTCTGACAGCATGACCGTGCCTCTACAAAAGACACAAAAATTAGCCAGGCATTAGTGGCTCACACCTGAAGTCCCAGCTACTCAGGAGGCTGAGGTAGAAGGATAGCCTGAGCCTAAGAGGTCGAGGCTGTGATGAGCTATGATCATGCCATCGCATTCCAGTCTGCACAACAGAGTGAGACCCCAACTCAGGAGAAAAAAAGTCCAAAAAACTGGCACATGATGGGCACTGCTATGGGAGGGAGGGAGGGGGCACCTAGCAATATAAAGGGTCCGCTATTAAGGGGAGAGAGGGTCAGTTAGAAGCCTAAACCTGCATGCAGTCTACTTATGTAGCAAGCCCTCATTTGTACCCCACAATTCTTAAAAAAAAAAAAAAGTCACATAGCATAACTTCAGCATTCATGCTTAAGAGAGTAATGAAACTCATTTTAAAGTCCGTGTGGTAAGGGGCTAAGAAAATACTGCTTGATTCTTAGCTTATTTACTCCACACAGTTATTCCCGAGATAGCAGAATGTAAGCTATGTACATATAACTTCATTTAAAGAGCCATGCTACAATTGAGGAGTATGGAATTTAGTCGATTGCCGTATGAAACAAATTACTTTTTTTTTTGAGTTGGAGTGTCACTCTGTCGCCCAGACTCGAGTGCAGTGGCATGCTCCGGGCCACCGCAGCCTTGACCTGCTGGGCTCCGGCAACCCTTCTGCCTCAGCCTTCCAAGTAGCCGGAACTACAGGTGCGTGCTATCATGCCCAGCTAATTTTTGATTTATTGTAGAGACGAGGTCTCGCCAAGTTGCCCAGGTGGGTCTCAAACCCGCAGGCTCAAGCAATCCACTTGCCTTGGCTTCCCAAAGTGCTGGGATTACACACTGAGCCACCGAGCCCGGTCAAAACAAATTACTTTTAAAAATTACCCTCGGGCAGCCCTCTTGGGCCCCCTCCCACTGTTGCAGCTTTTCTGTCCTCTCAAGAAGTCCTGCTTTCTTTCTTTTTTTTTTTGAGTTAAAGTCTCACTCTGTTGCCCAGGCTGGAGTGCAGTGGCACGCTCATGGCCACCCCACGGTCGACCTGCTGGGCTCAGGCGATCCTTCCGCTTTAGCCTTCCTAGTAGCTGGAACTACAGGCATGCACTACTACAACCAGCTAATTTTTTGATTTATTGTAGAGACGAGGTCTCGCCAAGTTGTCCGGGCTGGTCTTGAACCTGTGGGCTCAGAGAATCCACTCGCCTCAGCCTGAGCCACGAACCAAGTCCTGTTTTCTTTAAAAAACAAACAAACAAACAAAACCCTTGAGACAAAAGTACCAATCAACAGGGTCTCCTGTTCTGAAACTGGAATCTGTGAGGTGCTTACTGCGCCATCATTAGATACAGATGTGCTGGCACTGCACATCAGCAGATACAGATGTGCTGGCATTGCAGGAAAAAAAGACACGATAAAAACTGGAAATAATGAAACATCTGTGAAAAAAAACATCAAAAGCCGGGCTCGGTGGCTCAGTCTGTAGTCCCGCGCCTTTGGGAGGCTGAGATGAGTGGATTGCCTGAGCCCACGGGTTTGGGACCCGCCTGGGCAGCGAGACCTCATCTCTACAATAAATCAAAAAATCAGCCGGGCGTGGTAGCACATGCCTGTAATTCTGGCTACTCGGAAGGCTGAGGCGGAAGGATCGCCGGAGCCCAGCAGGTCGAGGCTGCGGTGGCCGGGAGCGGACGTCCACTGCACTCCAGTCTGGGCGACAGAGTGAGACTCCAACTCAAAAAAGAAAAAAAAGAAAAAAACATCATACACAGAGAAGAACAATAATGCCTTTATTAAAACTAGAGCTATAAGCAAGTGGGTCCTTACCTAGATCAGTATAGAAAAAGTGGTGTACGTCCATAACCACAGGTCTATCTCCAATCGCCAGTGAATACCGCTGGGAAAAAGCATGGTGGCTCGCGTCTGTAATTCCAGCACTTTAGGAGGCTAAGGCGGGAGGATCACTTGAGGCCAGGGGCTGAAGACCAGCATCATGGCGAGATCCCATATCTAAAAAACATATTATTACAAACAGCCCCAGCTAGAGAAAAGTCAGAACTAAGACCCTTTTACTGCCATCTCGGAATCTGACTAGCCGCAAAGGAAAAGCTGAACCAACGGCCCGCGACACCAGCCCAATCTCGCCCGAACTCAGCGCTGGCAAGCACCGCAGCGGGTACCTCGACCATCCGGACCTGCAGGGCAGAGGCAGCGCCGCACCCCTGCCCACGGGACCTTCATCCCAGGCTCCCAGGGAGACGCCCTGCCCTCCGCCCCGGCGGCGACACCCTCGGCGACTTCCAAAGAGACCCCCGCAGAGCCAGGTGCGCGCACCACTGAGAGTTAGGACGCTGCAAGCGGAGAAGCGGCTGGCTTCGAGAGAGCAAGAGGACCCACGTCTCCGCCTGGACCCAGAACGGACACTCGCCTCCGGACTGGTCCCTGCGCCTCGTCAGGCGGGGTTTGGGGGCTGGGAGGCTGGGGAGTCCCTCGAGGTTCCCCAGTTCCCACAGGGCGCTTGGAAGCCCAAAGGCCTGAGCCCCGGCGACCTCGGGGCGCAGGACACTGGGCGCTCGCGCGCACCGGCCCGGGGAGAAATGAGGCACTTGGCGGCGAAAGCGGCAGGACCTCGGGCTCGGCTTCTTGCTCCTTCCGCTGTCCAGTCACACAAGGCCGCGCACCCCGGCAAGAAGCCGAGCTCGCTGAGGCGCTGCGGCGCGCGACGCCCACCCCCCGAGGGGAGCGCGCCGGCCGCCGAGGCCCAGTCTGGCGTTTGTGCGCATGCGTGTGGTTCCGGCTCCGCCCATTGGGGCGGGGCTAGGCAGTGCCGTCTCCGCGTGAGTGGGACGGAGGGCGGGGAGGTGCCGGCCAGGCGTGCGACCCCGGGCCTGCGGCGTCCGCAGGTGGCGAGCTCCGCTTGGGTGACTCGTTGGGGCCTCCACGCCGGAGAGTCTCCTTTAGCCGTTGTGCTGTTTTTGTATTTCGTATGTAGTAACAGCTGTGTGATATGTTAAGCCCACTCCGTCCGCCGCTGGCATTGTATACGAAAGAGTTATTTGAAGACTTGTCTTTTGGAAGAGTAAAATTGGCACCCAGTACAGGTTTATACACCAGTGTATACATACAGAGTTCCAGTTGGAGAAATAACACGGTGGTTATTTTGGGGAGGGGGCGGCTACTTTGTGTTTTTACAATGTTTGGGTCTGTTTGGATAATCTATACATTCATCACCATTACAATATATATTTATATAGTGCGCACTCAACTCAGACTCACCTACTTTCCCACGTAGGTGTGGCGGTAGAGGTTTTGATGCAGTCTCAGAAATGAATGAGAACGTAAATAATTGAGTTGGTTCAACCCCAAAAGCACAGTTATTGTAAGGAAAGCTATACCTTCTCCTTTGGCCAGGAAGTGATTAGCTCACTGTGAACAAGGACCTTTTTTTTTTTTTTGAGTTGGAGTCTCACTCTGTCACCCAGACTGGAGTGCAGTGCCCGCTCCCGGCCACTGCAGCCTCGACCTGCTGGGCTCCGGCGATCCTTCCGCCTCAGCCTTCCGAGTAGCTGGAAATACAGGCGCCGGCTACCACGCCCGGCTCATTTTTTATTTATTGTAGAGATGAGGTCTCGCCAAGTTGCCCAGGTGGGTCTCGAACCCGTGGGCTCAGGCAGTCCACTCACCTCAGCCTCCCAAAGGCATGGGATTACAGGCTGAGCCACCGAGCCCAGCTAAGGACCCTTTTAAAAATAAAATTTTATCCTTTCCTTCTCCCACTCCTCACCATGATAGAAAGGAAACTTCCTTAAAGGTAGTAGTCACTCAGTTGATTTAATTGCCAACATTATTAGCCTCAGGGATTTAATATAGCTTTTTAAAAAGCAATCTCATCTTTAGCAGATGAAATCTAGTTAGGTTTCTGGTTGTGAGACTCCGTACTTGACCCTGGATGAAAGAAAATCTCAAGCACTGAGAAAATGTTAAGTATGTTAAATAAATGATAGAAGTGGGCATTTGTTAAATACCACATGAATAAATGGATATGTGCTATGAGTTCAAAGGCAGAATTACTCAGTGAATACTGGGGCATTCACAAAGGCCTCAGAGAGGATCACACATATTTGTCTTGAAGGATAGGAAGACTTG